TTTAGTTCCTTATGAAATTGCAATGTGAATCGACTGTTGACCTGGTGAATTTGATATTCTATACAAGTAATTCATGATTTTCACGCTTCGTAAAGTTACTCGGCACCTTTCGGGCCCATTAAGTAAACCGCGAGTCATCGTTTCCAAACAGAGAAGAGAGGAAAAAGACGGGACAATTAAACAGACCGAAAAGATACAGCGTGTATACGTAAGAGGGAACTTGCCTGTATGCTCGAGAAGAATCGCTTCCGCAAATTATGAAATTACTCGTGAGAACGCGTCCTTTCCGCGTGATTGTACGTATTGAGAGGGACAGAGCGAGAAAGCACGAGAGTTTGAGTTAAGCGAAGAGATTGGAAAAGAGAGAGAAAAATAAGAGGAAATAGGTATACGAACTGGTTCGCAGCGTCGACGTAGAATCATGGCTGTCTGGACTAGCCGGCTGGTTGACTGGCTGGCGCGTGTCCTCGGGGCCGACTGTTATATATATTCAGCCGGTATTTTCCTAGACAGGCACTTCCAGTACCTCGGCAAGGTAATTAGAGGCAAGGCTCCTTTGATCGAGTCAAGGTCACGTGATTGTCAGAGCGCCGCGCTGTCCGCTGTGGAAACTCGATAAGGCGATTTTCGTCCTGGCTCTCTTAGGCAGAGGTCGCCGGGGCAAGATACCTTCTCAGATGATAGCTACCTGCAGCCGTCTGGTCGGTCTCGTTTCTGATCGAGAAAAACTTTTACAAATTCTTCCTTCCTTATTTCACATTCCTTCTGGCTCGCTCGACTTTGATGATCGGGCTACTGGTATAGTTTGCGAAAGTAATTTGAAGAACCTCTAAGAAGAGGAAAAATATATGGGTCTTCCCTTACGGAAGAGGTAGAGTTCCTTGTTGCGTTCTTGTTTTTCCTATTCCTCGTCATCATCCTGTTCCCATTATACGCCCCCGTGTGCCATTGGTCATATCGCATCCCGTGATTCCTGTTTTCTCTTTGGCAATGAATCACTGGCTGACTGGGATTCTAATAAACTTTTTAATAGATATAGAAGGACTTTCCGTACGTTCACCTCAGGGTAATCTCTGCATGTTATACAATACGTATCACCAGCGTTGCTTGTCTTGAGTAAATTATACGAGCTCCGTTGCATATTTCTCTTGTATATCATATATGGAGTATGCGGTATATATTACTCTTAGTAATGAGTAAGTAAGTACCTATATTACTTACCGAACGTGACTAACTGGTTAAAAGGTAATTCAGCGTTAACGATACTCCTTGTTCGTTTATGGGTACTGTGTTTCTTATTTTCAATCTTTTCGCATAGCCAGCCTAGATTCCACAAAAATACCAGGTAACCTTTCGTTATCCCACCTGTTTTCGTTATTTTTCCTAAAATTCGAAATTGTATAACCCTATGGATATAGAGATTTTTTAAAAAAAGCTTCAACGATCTTCAAAGGTTTCGATGCCTGAGGCGAAGCACGGCAGCAGGCATTCTAGGATTCTTTGTAGATTTGCAATTGAAGTCTTTACTGTTCTCCTGAAATGAAATTGTGGACCAGCCTGTTGCGTAAGGAAAGAACACGTTAAAATATTCATTCGCTCGCTAAGTCAGCTGTAACGCATAACTCCGTTCACGCCCTCGTGATTTCTACACGGGGACATTGTTATGCTCGAACTCTCGATGTGGCGTCAACCACAAGACTGCATCGATATGTGCGTTGTGTGCGGAATGCAGGATCGCATGTCGCAGTACAGTAGGGAGGAATCGTTGTGCGATGTATCTATGGAGATGAAAGAGGTAGAGGGGAGAATAGTAGTCCTGCGGAAAATAGAAGGATGAAATCGTATCAAAGGACAGAGGTAAATAGATAAAAAAAAGAGAGAAAGGGACATATCAGTGATGTATATAGGTATACGTCCTGCCGTTATGCCGACGTCGCATCGGATCGAAGATGGAATCGAAAGCCCGTCGAAAGGAACGCAGTTACGATTTATTTCCGTTCTGGATGTGTCCCGGGGGGCTTCAGATTCGCGGACATCAAAAGCGATCCGAAAATAATAAAAACGGGACTAAAACCAATAACGAGACATCGCTGCATATTGTACTCAACTGTCCTTTATTTTTATCCGATCGGTATATTAATCCGCATGCGGAGAGTAACGCGAATTTTTTTCCGGCAAAGCAAACACAAAATACTCAATCACTCTTCGCTTCCGGCTGGGATTTTCGATTGTTACCTACTGAACGTCATCGCTCTACGTTATTCGCGCTTACCGACACGGTCAGTCATATATATATATCTTAACCTGAGAATTTTATTTCTATCTTTTATTATTTTTTTTCTCTAAGCTTTTTTTATTCGTCGCGTCAAAATTCATCGCTTTCACTCTTATCTGAACCTATGGGCTTACCCATATATGTTTATATATCTATAGCGACATTCTCCGAATAGCATTCCTCTGGAGTCGATAGCTCTTTGAAAATCTCCTAACTTCGCCTTATCAACTTCACCAATGGAATCATCCAAGACTATAAATTTAAGAATCGTAATATTCCATTGGAAGATAAATTCAGTCCTGATTCGCGTTGGACTCCGTCGTTCAGTTGACGCACTCGATCTGCATTCAAAGAATCATTATTTTCCTACAAGGATCGCACAGCCTTGCTCTCGTTTATAGTTGAGCCAACGTTATTCAGCATCCTTCGCGACACTTTAGTATGCGTACATTCGCGATACGTGCTCGGTTTTGATTCTGAGAAAAATATCCTGAAGCATCAGCAGAATCGCAACCGAGTACCCCGTAGCAGCCGTGAAAAAAAAAAAATATTGAAATATTAGTTTTGTTGAAGCATACCTCTCGAAAATATACCAATCAATAAATCATTCGATTGCACCGACTTTAAGTTCGTATAAGCATGAATTAGTATCGCTCTGATTATTTGCACGATATAATTGAGCCGCTCCGGCGTAAGAAAAAGAAGCACGAAGATTAAGAAGAAAACGTGGTGGAAGAAGCGATGGTAGAGGAAGTAAAAGTAAGAGTAAAAATAAGCAGCTGTCTTCGCTTGCAAGTTATTAGATAAATAAGGTCTTGACTGAGTCGAAGAGAGACAGACTGTCCTACCGAGAGATACCCAGGAAGTCGGTACAGGACTATCGATTTATTGAATATCGTCGACATCCACTCTACGAGTTTCGAGTTCCTCGAGGACTCGCCGAGTGGTTTAATTTTCCAGGGCAGGCAGGAAGGAAAAAGAATACAAGCAGACAGAGCACATACAGCTAAGTGAGTATAGATTGCTATAGGTTGATGGTCGTGACTGTTATCAGGTCGAACGATTCATACGGGTGCACTGTTTAGTCCGGCAGAATCCACTAGAACATCTCCCGGATGGATAGCAAGCTCACACGACATACTCACGGGTTTCTCAAGGAGAAATCATTATTATTATACCGTCACCATCATCCAAGATGACGTCGAGTCGTAACCAGGACACGGGACGTAAGACAATGCCCCTTGTTAATTCGTCATGACTTTCCACACCTGGGGCGTAGCCCCAAGACAGATTAAAGATCATTAAGCCGCTGCGATAGCCGCCAAAAACAATCATACCGATCGCGTGTTCCTAAAGGTGACGAGATACCTAATATACTTTTTGAATTGGTTCAGCTCAGATTTCACTACAGCATCCCGTGGACCAAAATCATCTAACAGAACATCTTCGGACTATATAAACAATTTCTTACTCTTGTTCCTTTATTTCGTTGTATCATTTTCAACAGTGGTCTACCTCAGTTTCATATTCACTTGATGGACGGTTGTATTTGTCCGTTTCAAGATTTAAGGTGACGTAGACTAGTTCTCTTCTCGACTGAAAGGTCGCGCCTTCAGGGAACAGCACATTGCAGGAACTAGGTAAATGAATCATAATTGTGGTCCACATCCTACTTTCTTTTGGTCCCATTCTTAAACGAGTGTACTTCTCTTTAACGAGGCACAGTGCATCAGTAGCATCCACGAACTCTTGCTTTTCTTTATTAATTCACACGTACTCAGGATGTAACCTGACACGGTGAGACCTCGCGACTTACTTCACCAAGGATGCTCGCTAAGCGTTACTTGGGCACGGAGCAGTCAACCGGGGGGAGTATTCTTCATCCTGCACGCTACTTTTCATACAGCTCGTGTATGAGAAGTTTCAAAGCAACGCCTCTCTTCAATAGCCGTACCCTCTGCCTCGTCGTTCCCCGCGCTACCTGTGCGTTCTCAAGGGAGCGACAAGTCTCGTCAAACGAGAGGAAGGTGACGAGAGTTTCCTCGCTGGAAGATTTTAACTGCATCGGGGGTCTCTCGATACTTAATACTCTTCTACTTCTAGAAGCTACTGCCGGTACTACTTCGTCCAAGCGATCTCGCGAATCCTTCGGTGCTGAGAATTCTTGAGCAACTGCTAATATCGTCACTTTTATCGCTACGACTATGAGACTACGCTACACGCAGAAATTACTGAAGAAACGAATCGCAGACAATGAACGTGTAAATGAAAATTAATCTCCATTTACATGTGCGCGGACACTTTTTAACGTACGCTTTTATACACGATATATGCTTAAAAAATGCAAGGACGCACGGCGTCGCTCTCGCTCTGTACACAAGAGTCAATAAAAAGTATTACCTAACAGTTCCTTTGCGGTCGACAGGAATAATTTTTTCGTTCGACGAAGCCGTCGCGACGCTCGACGTCGTCTTAACGAGTGCGCTCGCTGAAGAGTGCCTTAACCGGAACGCGCTCTTCACGGTTAGATTAGCCACTTCTCGATTTCGAGATTTCGTTACGACGCCCGTGTAAGGCGGAGACAAAGTTTTATCAATCTGTCTGTGTCAGTTAGGAGAACGAGATGTTTTACTGTGGCCATAGACGTAAACTGTCGATTTCTTTAGGGGCATAAGGTGTCACCAATAGGTACCATCTTCTTGGACTTGTCCAGGTCTCTACTCACCGGTTGCTGGCAGTAGAATCTCCGCGCTGACCAGTAACAGCAGGGAATGCCAAAATTTCATTGTTCCCCTAATCACTTCCGTTTCTCGGTATACTTCTACTTCCAGTTCCTCCTGGCTCGATCGACTAGCGTACTTGAAACTGATGTGGGTTACTCGCGAGCCACATTTTCCCTGCGAAGTGGCGAAGCCTGCTTCCCAGCTTCTTACACTCCTTTGACTTCCACTTTTACTTTGAAGTCGTCCTCGCGATTACTCGTTACCTTACTATTCCTACGGATAGTCAAGTTGAGCGCGTGGTTACCGTTCGTTGCGACAAGAAAGACTGAGCATCGGTTTGCCCACCACGACTTGCCTGCTCCCTGCCATTCCAAACTGCCTTCTGGTTGCCCGCTGTCTTTTAGCTTGTCCCGCTCGCGCACTGAAGTCATCCGGGCTATGGGAAGGATGAGGAGGTTGTCCTCGTTTGCTTCGCGAGGCCTGCCGGCCTCTCACCTACCTCGCATGCCTTGTACTGGCTTTCCTCCTTCTTCGAATAATCGTCTAATATACTTTTTTCTTTCTCATTAACTCCTTGTACGCGGGACGAGAGTCTTGTTCAAACTTGGGCAGTCCTGCTCTTGGATATTTTTAATCACTTTTTAGCCCGCAGATTGCACCGGAACAATTTCCTCTGACTTTTCTCTTCTTTCTTTGATTGCAGAAACTTAAGAGTGCTCAGGTGTTTCCGGACGTTCTGCAGAACAGCGCGGGCGTTGAAGCTTCTATAAATCAACACTTCTGTCTACTTCATGGTGTATTGCAGAATGTTGAGAAGGAACTTGTCGACAAGCTCTACGGACAGCGGCACCGGCTTAGGAGGAATCTCAAGGAGATCGAGAATGAGCTCGAGATGCAGGAGGATGTGCTTCATTCTTGGTTGCTGGTGTTTATCTCAAGCCTCTTTGATTATTGTACGGGGAGATTGTACTTAGGGTTTAAGTAATTCTTTGTCTCTTTTAAGATGGCTGCTTCCGTTAAGGAGAGTCTTGACAAGGTGAACTTGAAGAAAGTCATTGAACAATTGCATGATGTGGCTGATGTACCCTGTCATCTCATACAGGATCCTATCTCGGAGGAGGATACGATCTCGTAAGATATTATTCTTCGTTGTTTATTGACATTGAATTTACTGTAAGCTAATTTTTGTGCTTCAGGTTGAAGATTGACGAGTCCATTATAAAAGCTATTAAAACTCATTGTCAAATTCACGTACCGCAGACTGCCAGTTTTAAACTGTCCACGGTTAAGCATCTTCCCGATGATTATCAGATAGAACCAGTGAATCAGGAGGAAGTTCAAAGTAACAAAGGATTGTGATTAATTTAAATTAACTCTATATTACGTTACTTAATATTGTGTGGTTTTTATTTTGCGAAGAAATCATTAGCATAACAGAACCGTTCAAGAAGGGTCCTCCCGCAGTGAAGAAGAAAATCGTGCCTGTCCAAAAGTCAAAGTCAAACAGTTCTGAACTGACAAAAGGTATATAATAATTTCGTTGAATAAAATGTGTGATTGTCACATATGTTTACTATGAAGCCCTAACTTTTTGTCCATTCATCGTTTCCATATGACTTACTGTACCACAGGAAGCTGCTTAGTCGCCAAAGCGACCTACATTAAAGACCCAACATCATTTTACGTTATGCCAATGAGCAATTCTCATCTTCATTCAGAAGTAAGAAAGAATATTCAAATTATGAAACTTGCTGATATCGATGGAAACAATTTGACAGTATGTAAGTTCCTTAAGTGTCACGTTTCTTTTCCTCAAAGATATTAAAAATTAGAACTAACAAAAAACATTAATTCATTCGACAGCCAAATTATACGCCGTACAATCATTGAAGGATCAAAACTGGAATCGTGGCAGGCTGGTCAATATAAACATAAAGCAGGAAGACTTCACAACGTGTGATATATATTTCATTGATTATGGAAACACAGAGAAAAATGTTCCAGTTTCAAATATTCAGGAATTGTCTCCAAGATTGTTAGCCATTCCCCCGTTGGTCATAAAATGTGCCTTGTTCGATATCGTACCAAAGGATGGTTTGTCGTGGCATCATGACGCGCGCAACGAAATGTATCGCATAATTAAAGGGTAATTATCTGTCTTCCATATATCAATGCACGAAACATTGATTAGATGTCCTTCAAGATTATTCAGTGAATTCTTCTATCTCGTGCAACAAAGAATTAAATATTCATATACATATTTTATTATTTTAGAGTTGACAGAATGGTCAATATACATATCGTTGACGTCGTAGGCGATACTTATCAAGTAGAAATGTGCACTAATCCATCGAGCGACGGTACCGAGTCCGTGTCTATCAGAGATTTCTTGTTATTCCTTGGTTTCGGTAATATGATCTCACGGCAAACTTTACAGGTACTTTTATTAAGAATTACTCTGAAGCGTAACATCATAACTTTACGTTGTTTATCGATTTACACCACAAGAGATCTTTTTCATTTAAGAAAACGAATCCCCAATCCATCCGTAAGTATTATTCCGAAGACTTACCGCTGGAGAAGTACCATACCGTGATTTGTAAATGCGTTCTGTCTCCTCAATTGTTCTACGTACAAAAGGTATAACATTGTCAATCAATATAACTTAGGCCCGATCATGCTATGATAATGAGTGATATTTATTCACCAGGCAGACAAAAATATTCAGTACCTTGAGAAACTCAAAGACAGTATGACAAACTTTTTTGAAACGGAGGGTGCGATTAAAGGCATTATCCATATTCCGTCTGTAGGTGAGTTCTGACGGTGTTTCAGTTTTCCTTCGAATAGTTTTCTGGAAACCTTCGTGTAATATATTTTTATTTTTAAGGAATGCCATGCGCCGCGCCGTACACAGACAAGAAATGGTATCGCTGCAGAGTATGCAGTATACCTGGTGACAAAATTGTCGAGGTGTTCTACGTCGATTATGGCTATACACGGGCAATGCGATATGATGTTATACGAAAAATACCGTCTCAGTTTATGACCTGTGCAACACAGGTAAGACACATCATTAAATTTATAAAATTAAAAAAAATTAATTTCTCATTAATCGCAGGCAATTCAGGTATCTCTAAAGGACATAGAATCATTAAACGAAGAGCAGAATACGTCTGTGGTTAACTACATGAAACAACATCTATGCAATACTAGAATTAATCTTATTGCACTTGGCAAAACGCAGTACTCTTACGAAGTTGTAATCTTCGTTAATGGTGGTGTTAATTTCAAAGACATAATAGCAGCCCATCTTATGGAGAAACCTTTTGTGTAAGACTAAATCAAAGCAGACTTTTACATGCAAAAATATTTATACATTTTTCATTAGAATCTTCTAGCAATATGATATATATATATATATATATGTGTGTGTGTTACTCGTTTAGAGGTACAACGCAAGCCAATGAAAATGGACCAAAGGTATGCAAAAAACGGAGGAAGAAACAGCAGCACGCCCTTGAATCGCAGAAAGCATTGCTACAAGCTGTTGCTCCAAATAATGAAACTTTACCAGTAGCCGAATGTGATTCCAATCCGTTTACATTGGCTGTAGATGTCGTTCTTGTAGAATCTCCAGATTCCATCTATTTGACCGATTCAGTGCTTCATCAGGAGTATTTAAAAGTTCAAGAAGAAATGCAACATTATTACAATAAAACTCGTACTATACCAGAAGAGGTTTGGAAGGAGGGTAGCTCAGCCGTGGTTTACTCGGCCCTTGATAAGCGATATTGTCGTGTGAAGATACTAAACATTATGTCGGATGATACTGCAGAAGTATTCTTTTATGATTTGGGAATTCGCGAAGTCGTTCCCATTGAAAACCTTGACGTTCTCCACCCCAAATTCGAAAAGACACCATCCAACGTCTTCAAAGCTAAACTTTTTGGAATTCTACCCTGCGGCGGTACTGATACTTGGCCTTCTTATTCCTGCACGAAATTGAAGGAAGTCATTGAGGCGAATCAGACTAATAAGTTTTATATAGAAAAAATGGTAATCGTGAATTTACATAGCTGATCTCAGAGCAAAGGGTAAACATTACATAATGATACTTCCTAGGCTAATTCTGATAAAGATGATACTGTCCTGGTTGACCTTTATATAAAACAATGCAAAACTGATGGACCGTTTGCTGCAACTAAAACTATTTTGAGCTCTGTTACTGAGATGCTTATCGAGGAAGGCGTTGTTCTGCCAGACAGAGAGTATGTTGTATTTTGAAGAAAATATTGTACGGCATTAACGAAATTTGTTTCTCCACTTTTATTAATAATTACAGAAAAATGGGACGAAAGAAGAAAGTCCTCGCTGTGGAATTCCGGAAGGAACTGAGACAAAAACAAGACACGACTGATATTCCTGATATTGAGTGGCTCTTGGGCAACGTTCACAATATTTGTCTTTCGAACGACAATAGTCGCAGTAATTCACCAGGTTGTACCGAAGATTCGTGCTTGACATCAAGAAAAAATGTTCCATTGCCACCTAAAATGGCCTCCTGGCTTCCTGCAGTACCCATACAAGAAGATGAATTTATTGGAATTGCATCATATGTTGATTATGAAGGTGCTATATATTTGCATTCCAAAAAACAAAGTACGAGTTTGTATTTATTTTACTTACATATGTCATCCAGCTAATTATTGTATTCAACAATGGACAATTTTTCCACAATTTTTTTAGACAAAAAAACATTGAAATTCATTGAGAATACCTTGAAGAAGGAATACGAGGACTTTTCATTAAAATCTTATGACAGAATGTGGACCGTAGGTGACATATGTATTGCTCAGTACCATGATAATAAAATGTGGTACCGTGGTGTTGTCAAAAAATTATTGCCCAATGACATCATTCAGGTTTTCACTTCTTTTGATTACTACACGTTCTTTTCGTTATTTACGCATTTTCCATTATCATTCTTATTTGTGTTCTATCATTATTAGGTGATGTTCGTCGATTACGGCAATGTAGAAGATTGCGAAATTGGTACATTAACAAAGCGAGTTATTTTGGGACACATACCGATTCAATGTACAAAATGTTACGTTGATTCATTGAAACCAGTAAGATAAATTCGACAGACTTCGACAGTTTTTCTTAATCGGAAATACAAAATTACTAGCATAAAATTATTTTCGTTACAGAATAAAGTAGATGGAAAGTGGGAAACTGATGATTTGGATAGAATACATGCGCTTACAGTCGACAACGAATTGAAAGTGAAAATAATCAAGAGATATCCCGATTACAATATCGTATGTTCATATTATATACTTTTTGCTGTTCACAGATCACAGTGTAGTAACGAATACGTATAATGGTTATGGTTATTATTTCAGATTTCTATCAATTTGCTGCACCCAAAAAGAAAAGATTTGATCTCGTATCTTGTGAATGATTTGCACGTTGATATTAACACTAACAAGAGTATTTCTGTTGAATCTTCAGAATCCAAATCTAATTGTGAAAACCTTGATATAACAGATGATGTCGCTGTTCAACAAATTATAATGGATTCTCCCATTGATGAACATGAAAAGTGTTCAATGGATTCCTCGAATAGTGACGATGTTTCTGATGTTGTTATTTTGGGCACGGACAGTGGTAGTTCTGACTCAAGTACTAATATCAGAATGGAACAATTAGAAGCTCTATCGTGGATGAATATGAATTGTTCTCAAGAACAACACAATGATTTTTTTGTTGCTTCCACTCCGCAGGATGAAAGCTTGAACAATTCTGTTCCACAATATGAATCACTAACCATTCCCCAAAGTCTTACGACAGTTCCATTAAGAGTCGTATACGTTGCGGAATTTCCAGTTTTTTTTGCACACATAAATACTACTACAAAGGTTTTTAAATTTAAATGCTATATTCTAATACTTGAAGAATACTTCAGGCGACGCTTTCTATTGATATATTTGATATTAACAATTTTCTGAATACTTCACAGGAATTAAGAAAACCTTTGGACGCGTATGTAAACATGCATGAAACTATGCAAACAGAAGCCAAAGAACAACCGATTCTTCAAGATGTTGAACCAAGTATGCAATGTTGAAAATAAAAATTAGTGGAAGAATTTCTTTTCTGATTTCTAATTGATCTTGGTTCTTGACATGTCTTTCCAGATATTCCTTGCTGTACAAAGTGGAATGAAGAATGGTATCGTTGTCTGATTATTGATTGTAAATCGACCAACAACTCAGAGGATGATACAGTTAAAGTACGATTCGTTGATTTCGGGAACGAAGACTATATAATACCTCTTATGTAAGTATACTAATTTTTCGTTCAAATATTAATTATATCAATGAGAAGATTTTAAATATTTTTGTTTACAGGCTCCATTCTCTAAAAGAAGAATGGTTACAAATTCCCATTGTATGCTTCAAATTTCGAGTATGCAACATTGAGCCTATTTCACCAAGTCCCAAGCAGCTTTGCGCAGCATTTAGTACTGCACTAGAAAATAAAATTGTGATAGCCAAAATTTTGGTATGTGCTAAGTCATTATATAACAATATTTTTTTTAGAAATTACATTCTACTTTTACCTAAATCGTTTTTCGGTATCGTCAAAAATAATTGTGCAAAAAATTAATTAGCAACAATTGCGGACTGATATATTATTCTATTGATTTAACACCTTGCTGCAACCCCTCTGTGTTTACAGGATCAGTACGACGATACTTATGACATAGAACTATACATGGATGCAGAGTGTCAAAAGCCATTCGGCTTTGAAAGTATCATGGGTGATGGACTAATCCGAAATAAATCAAAAATTATAACGGAAGATAAAGCTAAAGCAGACTAGATGTCTAAATGATATGACGATAATGAAACTAAAGGGGATCGATCGACTTACAGCAAAACCAAATAGATTATAAGTCATATGATAAGTAATAGTAGTATGACGACATCATTCAACCTTTCATTTTACTAAGTATTCCAATATATTTTTTGTTCATCAGTATTTGTAAAGTTTATAAACCTTGTTATGAATTTATATTTTATTTTTCATACAACTGTCTCAGGCTTAGAATAGTATATAGTAACAGTATATATACCACGTGCTGTATACACAGTAATTACTTATTTAATTTACCACCAACTCGTTAACGTTGCGTACTCTTTGCAATTTGTTCCTTCAGCACAAGAATACTCTGCCTTTGTTCAGGTGGTAGCATTGCAATCTGTTCGTCTGATAATTGCAATACTTGCATTATCAAAGCAGCCTGTAGTGACAAAATAAATGATAAAAAACTTTCACGGTATACGTAATTAATTATTCAGTAACTGTTTAATTGTTATTAAAGTTTAATTTTTAATAAAGTACTTTTAAAAATAATTGTTCGATACAACCGCTGCAAACTAGTTATAATTAATTCACAATAAAAACGTACCTTTTCTTGATCGGATGCACCGCTTGGTATATTTCCAGCTGGTGACATACCAGCCATCAGTCTAGAAGTAGCACTGCTACTGGAGGTCGCCAGAGCCAGTGACGGTCCCGTTGTAGTTACGTTTGGTACTACAACAGGAGGTACCACTGGAGCTACTACAGGTCGCGGAACAGCAGGAGGTGCAACTGGTGCTGGTGCTGCTAAATAAACAATAATTAGGTTATACATGTTTACAATATTTTGCAATATAAATATGTGATCATTAAAAACGTACGAGTGGCTTTGGTAATTCTTGGATCCACCGGCACCCTTGGATCACGCGGATCTCGTGGATCACGACCGAAGCGGTCGGCTCTCGGATCGCGACAAAAACTAAAATAAGAAAAACGTTATATGCACGAATTGCAATATTTCACACTAATATATTACATGGGTAAGCATAACACCTCTCAACTCCCTCCGCAGGAAGAGTGCTGCAAAAAAGGGCAAATCTATTGAATTGCTCCAGCAAATTTAAAGTCTATCATATGGTGAAGTACTAACATATCAGGTAGATTGAAACCTGGTCCCCTGGAATCTGCTACAGGTGGAATAACAGGAGGAGCATTTACAGGTGTGGGTTGACTTTGTGGAGGACCTCTCAGATCTTGATCCATCCTAGCCAATCTTGGATCAATTTGTCTGTCCAATGTACGAAGATCTACATCTTGTCCTACATTGAAAAAAATCATCCGTTATATTTCACTATAATTGAATAATTAGTGAAGTATCATACCAGCAAAGATAGGAGCTGTAGGATTGGCAGCAGGCACAGGTCTACTCGGAGCCCATGGTTCCTCTATCCGTGGTACTATAGGATGCATTGCTGGTTTATCTGAAGGCATTATTACTCCTGGAATAGGATTCGCTTTATGCAACATATTCACTGCAGTGTGAGGATCAACTATCCTCATAACGACTTGAGCTTGAAGCAATGCATAGGCAAGCTGAGGATTTTGTAGCAACATCTGCCGAGCTTCATTTGGATTGTTCTGAACGCACAATTTCATCTGCTTCATTAGTTCAAACATCTGTTCAGGTGGCAATGAGGCAACAGCTTTACTTATTGCTTCTGGAGCTTTATCAGCCTGTACAGCTTCTCCATATGGATTCTCTGTATTCTGTCCTTGTAAAAGGCTTTGCATTTCCATACGACTCTTTTCTGTGCATGCATTATCTACACGTAATGTTCGTCCACCAATTTCATAACCATTGAGATTTCTCATAGCGCTAAGAGCTGTCTCTTGATCTTTATATTCACAGAACCCATAGCCTTTTGGTTTTCCTGTCTCTCGATCAAATACCAGCCTGCGAAACAACAACATTTCATAACAAGAAATGTGCTTTATTACAATTTTTGACAGATAAACATAAAAACAATTTTAGGTTAACCTTAAAAGAAAGTTCAATGTAAAAATCTTGTAATTTTAATATCACTTACTTAAAAGATAAAACGGGACCCACTTCACTGAATATATCCTTTAAATTTTCTTCTGTAGCTTCGTACGGGATATTCCCGACTATAAAAAAACGGTTTTATTCCTACAGGTTGCATGTCTTAGAGCTAATTTTTCACTATAAATAATATATTTCTTACCGAATACGCTACGCATGGATTTATCCATGAGGGATTGATCAGAAATAGTTGAATTACTCATTTTGTCACGTTGTAACTATCGTCTACTTTCAATTTTATTTATTATTCAAAATTTTGAACTATCTTTACACAGCAGCCAAGCGCCACAGAACGTCAATGAACGCGATGAACGCCCGAAATGCTTGTGCATCACACAACCACGAACGCGTTACTGCACTAGTAGACTGCTACAGTGCTTCACTATAATGTACAGAAAGTTTTATCACTTTATAAGGAGTTCAGGAAAGTAACAAGAAACGTTGTAACAATCAAGATCTTATATTCCAAATGGTATGAAAATACAATACAAATAATATCATTAAGAAAATACAAAATATCGGAATAGTTCAGGTTAACACTATGTGTTCGAGATTCGACCAAACTATAAACACATACATATGTAGTAATATAGAGAATGAGCATGACTTTCATTTCATGAAAATACATTTACGAATATAAAGTATCCACTAATATGCTTTAAAGAATCTTGCTAATGCGTCGAGACATAATATATTCCAAAAATGATTCAATGATGGAAGAGACGCAAGTTGGTATGAGCCAGAATAATGCCATGTTCATCACAAGCTTTGATAACGACGTCATCATTAGTGGAACCAGCCGGACTTCCGATGTATCTAACGCCACTCTGTAATGAAAACAAAAATTAAATAGAAAACTCAAGTCTTAAGAAAATACAAATGTTCTTATGATCCGTTTACTATCTCCTTACCAGTCGAGCTCTATCAACATTATCTCTGAATGGAAAGAAAGCATCACTGCTCAGAGCGACGCCATCCAATTTCTTGATCCATTCGAGTCTCTCATTTTCTGTAAGTTTTTCAGGAACCACGTCGTACGAAGATGCCCAAGTGGCTTCATCCATATCCTTTCCTATGGAACCATTAACATAATTGTCAATGGCATTGGAAATTTCAGCCCGTTTCACACCTTTTTTGAACTTCATTCCTGTAACTTTAGGATGCTGGCGAAGCCACCTAAAATATTTAAAAGCAAATATTAAAGACATGACAATCTTAAGAAATTATTTTATAAGCTTTAAACGAACCAATTGTCGGCTTTGTCGCCAGCAAGCCTCGTACAATGAATTCTCGATTGTTGACCAGCTCCGATTCCAATTACTTGGCCATCTTTGGCATAGCAGACAGAATTACTTTGTGTATATTTCAATGCGATCGTAGCTACGATCAAATCCCTAATCGCACTTTCTGGCAATTTATTTGATTTTGTCACAACATTTCCAAAAGTATTCTTATCAATGGAAGCATCATTGCGTTTCTGTTCCAGGGTGAGACCGTACAATGTTTTACGTTCCAATGAAGAAGGTTCATAGTTGGGATCAATTTGAAGAACACAATACCCTCCATTCTTTTTCTTCTTTAATAATTGTAGAGCTTCCTCAGAGTATCCGGGGGCAATAATACCGTCCGAAACTTCTCTATAAAAAAAAGAAGTAAAGAAAGTATATAAACGTTATATAAATGTTAATACTACTTTAACGAGGATTTAAATATACCATTCTAATACCTAGATATGATCCTAGCAGTTGCAACGTCACAAGGGTCTGATAAGGCAACGAAATCACCAAAACTGGACATTCTGTCAGCACCTCTAGCACGAGCATAGGCACTCGCTAATGGAGTCAGTATATTCAAAAGATCATCAACTTGACACAATTTTGCCTGATCTGAATCTAGTGGAACACCAACAGCTGCTCCTGCTGGACTAACATGTTTGAAGGAAGTAGCTGCTGGCAAACCTAAAGCCGTTTTTAATTCCTTAACCAATTGATATCCGTTGAGTGCATCGCACAGGTTGATAAATCCAGGAGAACCATTAACGACGGTTAATGGCAACCTTTCTAATGTGGTGAAAATCTGTGCAGGTTTTTGATGTGGATTCATTCCATATCTTAAGGTCAGCTGAGAGACTCCTGAACTATATTGCTTACGGAAGTAATCGGAGATAGCATTGTCATATTCTGCAGTATGTGTAAATGCTTTGAGAGCTAAAACTTGCCTGGAAATGAACGTAAGAAATTTCATGTATTTTGCAATCAAGATAAATTAGAAAAGAAATATGAGAAGTAATTAAGACATAGCATTGCTAAGAACCTTATGGAATTTCAGAGAAATTTATCGCATACTATTGCTCCATTAAGATATCTATGAAAATTGCAGATAATGTACCTCGTATTGGGAGATGTATCTTTGTTTGTAGAAGTTTCCAATTCTTGGATGACCTTTTCATAATCATTAGGGTCACAGATAACTGTGACTCTATTATGATTCTTAGCAGCTGCCCTTAGTAGAGTTACACCACCTATGTCAATGTTCTCCACTGCATCAGCGATCGTTACTTCAGGCTTTGAAACTGTATTAACAAATGGATAGAGATTGCAGACTACAATGCTAATTAGATCATAATTTTGTTTCTGAAGATCAGCTTGATCGGAATTTGTCAGTCTGGCTAGAATACCTAAAATATAATTCAATTGTAAAATATTTAAACTATATATTGTTATAATAATAGTCTATTTTTATAAAAATAGTGTCAAGTGTTACAAAAACTTACCAGCATGAACAGCTGGATGAAGAGTTTTAACACGACCACCCAACATCTCAGGAGCCCCAGTTATATCGGAAACATCTTTTACAGGAAGGCCAGCATCTCTCAAAGACTTTGCAGTACCACCAGAAGCAATCAATGTTAAACCCAATTCATGAAGCCTTTTGCCGAAAGGCAAAAGATTGGTTTTATCAGATACACTCAACAAAGCTGTAACAAAATATGAAAATCTTTCAATCTAACATTACACATATAAAATAGATTTAATGAATACCGAATAGTCCGTGTAACAAATATTAACACGTGTACAAAATGAACTTCAATGGATGCTAATCTTGTTTTAGCCATATAAATTAAATTTTCATTTTGCGATTAACTGCTCTTATGTAAAATTCTTACCAATTTTTCCGCCGGACATTTTCAACAGTTTCTAATGAAATATTATACAACAATATTCTAGTTGCAATTTAAATCAGAACCAGTCTAACCAGTTGATAGAATGTGCTCACACCACAGAACTCAACAAGTGTTTGACCCTGAACAGATTTCTTCTACTTATGAACTCTCATGCACACGACATCACACATATATAAATTAATGTGCGTCAGGATAAGGAGCTTATCATCTAGTCTGCGGGGGTTTCGGGTTAAAGTTTAGAATGTTGAAATTTTATCTCGCTTATTAAATGGATAAACAACTGTAAAAATAATTTTTAAAAGTATTTGAACAAAAAAAGTTCGTATTTCAAACGGGCCTCGAAAACAAGCCACTTCTGCAAACAAGATATATCATGATTATTAACCAATTATAACCAATATGCCGATATGCAGTTATAAATGTATCGTGGCATTAATGTTGCACTGGATATACTATATATTTTTTTACAATACATTTTGCGAAATGCACAAATAGATTATTATGAAACCTTCATAAGCTATTTTCTAATTTTCTAGTACATAAGTTTTAAATATTAAAATATTCTTCTTTATTATAAAACAATGTATATTAACAAGATATTATGCCGATATCGTTTCTGTTGTCATTCATAACTTTGGACTAGTTCGGACGCATGATTAATATTTGACATAAAACTAGCCTCTCATGGTTGCAGCAACAGTTGCATTGGGTCAGTAACGAACAGAATATGTCCGCTATTGTGTGAGAAAGATAGAGCGTGATTACGATCATCTATACACGTAGTAAGTATAGACCCCTATGGTCGTAACTGCTATCCGTCTTTTTCTATCTAGCGGACATCTTTCTGGCTTCTATGCGTAGTCCATTCTCGATGCTGATGGTAAATATACTACTTGCTGCATCCATTTACCTGTTTTTGAATCATGCTACAATTGTAGCATTAATAAAACATACGCCTACAGTCAGCCTGGTCTGTGGGAAAAGTTTTGAAAGGACCAATGTTATAATTATGCTACAATAATGATATGCTAACTTTTGTAGAATAAAGATCCCTTCACAGATTTTTCTGACGAGTCGTGTGAGTCGTTAATACTGATCTAAAGGAATTGAGCAATCTCAAATATTCCTTAAAACTAGAAATGTATATGATTTGTCTATTCCTTTAGATCGAAGTTAACTAAACCGGTTTAAGCCTTGCACCCGTCGTGTAAACGTAGTCAATTGCGTGAAAATGTATTGTTACATCACGCACTGCGTGCACAATCTACGGTAGTGAAAACAGGTATAAAATTCCTATATGCTTAATGATTTTATTACATCTGCTGTTTCATTTCTCCTTAGAAGTCATGTGCTAACATTTGTGGACATACATCAACGCAAGTCGTGCATTTGGAAAGCACCCTACGAAAAGGCTCTCGACGCTCTCGACAAAGTTATTACAAGAAATGTATGGTGCTGTAAATTCTATGTTAAAGATAGTATATGGTCTTATTCTCCGTGAACGTAACCAAACTGCTCGTAGTATTCATCTGTGTTCATCGTTTGACGTTTTGAGGTGAAGGGTGTCGTCGATTGTGTCCAAATTGAACACAGTTCTACAAAAGATTTCCATTTGAACCAACAAAATGAATAGGCTTTTTGGTCGCGCTAAACCTAAGGAGCCACCACCAAGCATAACCGATTGTATTAGTGGGGTAAGAACAATTGAACATTTAAGGTTAATTCAGAACTAAATTATGAGTCATGATAACATTAACTGAAAAGACGTAATAATCAGTATTTAAGACAGATTATGAAAGACTGCTTAACTCCGCGGATAATAAGTATTTTTATCACCTTTGCACATGTATCTTATTATATATATCTATAAAATTTAGGTGGACAGCAGGGCTGATTCTGCAGAAAAGAAAATAGCAAGGTTGGATGCTGAGCTCAAGAAGTATAAAGATCAAATGGTAAAAATGCGTGAGGGGCCTGCCAAGAATGCAGTTAAAGCTAAGGCTATGCGTGTTCTTAAACAGCGCAAAATGTATGAAGCACAAGTTGACAATTTGAGACAGCAAGCATTTAATATGGAACAGGCAAACTATGCTACGCAAACTCTCAAGGATACCCAAGCTACAGTGGTTGCTATGAAAGATGGTGTAAAACAAATGCAGAAAGAATTTAAGAATATTAACATTGATCACATTGAGGTATATAGTAGTTTATGTATTAAATGTGTAAGTAGGTAAATATATTTTACTACAACGTGTGATTTCAGGATTTGCAAGATGATCTTGCAGATATGTTGGAGCAGGCGGATGAAGTGCAAGAGGCAATGGGACGCAGTTATGGAATGCCAGAAATTGATGATGATGAACTTGCAGCGGAACTTGATGCTCTTGGTGATGATCTTGCCCTGGATGATGATACATCTTACCTTGATGATGCTATTAAAGCACCAAGTGCTCCAGACAAGGAACCTGGTGCAGCTTCTGTTCGGAATAAGGTATGTCTGATTTAAAGACATTATTTTGACAATATCAAACAAATTGTTCATATTTTTCTTAGGATGGAGTTTTGGTGGATGAATTTGGCCTGCCACAAATACCAGCTAGCTAAGTTCTTTCAATGTGTTAATGTTATCCTTTTAAATCCAATATCAGCTAAAAATTCTTGCAGACACGCCCAATCACGCCTGACCTATCTAGGGTTTAGATTGCAAAACTTTCTAAAGAACACTTTTCAGCAAAGTGTAAGAACAAAATCAATTTTCGTATCAAGTCTATTGTTATGGATATATTGATTGAATGAGATAAAAAGATGCTTTCTGATGTGGTTAATATAATATACTTTTTTTTGTTTATATATATATATTATTTTTATTGACATAATGTTACAACTATAAATGCATCAATAAATTGTTTAAAGCAATGATTATCCTTCAATTAAAATTACATTTGCCATATTTACATAGTTTATTGAACTAATTTCATTCGCGGTATATTTAAGGGTTGCTGATTTTGAATCTCTTTATAGTGGTCAGATAAACTAAGGATGCTTTCTTTACTTTCTTCAAACGTCGTTTTATCGAAACCATCCACTTGCAAATAATGATGAACGTGAGCCTAGAAATTCATAAAACAAATTCAAGCGACTTAATATATTCAAATAACCATGGTCCGTCAAAAATATTTACCTTTCTTCTGTAAAGCTGATCAAATTGATGAACGATATCTCTAAGCATCGAAGAAACGGCAGTTGAATTCATGAGACACATTACAGAAGTTGAATGTCCTGCTGGAGGTACTGAACATAAACCTACTTTCATAACATCCCTGCTCCAGGACGTAAACTTAGCTTTGTCTTGAAACCTATAAAGACCAATTACCGTACGTTATCCCTGAATTATCATATTCCCAATGGTTCACGTACCGTTCTATATTCCGGCGAATATTGGTCAAAGATGAATTTCCACGTACAATGTGCGCTGCGCCAATAATCACTGATCCGGGCCGCAAAGGATCAACTTTTATTAGCTGATTACTTCGAGACCAGGCACTAGTAAATAGCTCATCATGCGTTCTGAAATTCAGACGGTGCTGTCATTGTGACGATAAGTTTAAACAAATATTTCAACATACACACCTTGTTCCACGAACAATGGATCTTGACGGTGCAGTTAAAGCTACAGGACTGACGCTGCTAAATATGTAATGCATTCGAGGATATGGAACAAGATTCGTCGCCAACTCGTTCATATCTGTGTTCAAAGTTCCTGGAAATCTGGAACCGCTGCAAAAAATGGGTAAATATTTTATTAATGCTAATTATTAGTGTGTTTACTATATGCATATTATAATAAATCCAAAAATTGTATTTACCTAGTCACGTGAAGAAGCATATTTACTATGACACTATTCATATCCTGAAACGGTTTACAGGTAGCGTTATATTTTCCTTGATCGATATTTTCTTTTTTATCCATTTGAACATTGCAAATTTCCAAAAGTGCTTTATTTTCTGCTGGAAAAACACATGTGGCATGCTCGGTAAGCTCGTGAGTGGATAGTAAAACGTTATAAGGAGCTGTTACTACGTCTTGAATACCTGCTGGATATACACTGGAAACAAATCTGCAAGATATAAATTGTTATGTTATTCATCTCATTATTTCACACTATCTTTGCATGTACTACCTGTCCACGTGTGGATAGTTGTCGTCTAACTGTTTTAAAGTAGCAGTACCTAATCCTGATCCTGTTCCACCTCCAAGAGAATTAACTAATACAAATCCATGAAGACGATCGCATTTTTCCGCAACGCGTCTAATAGTGTTATCTATTTTCTCAAAATACTCTGTACCGTGCGTATAATGACCAACAGCCCTAAAAATGTATACAAATTAATATACCCGTGACAATATTTTTTATACGTTTCATATTATTTATACCAATTGTTTCCTGATCCCGGATAATTTGTTACTGTACAAGAATGATCAAAAAGTGTTCGAAGAGGGCCGCACTTAAATCTGGCTACGACACTATCCTCCATATCGATAAGTATGGCCCTTGCTTTAACTTTTGCAGCATTTAAATCAGCCAATGTCTTGAAAGACAAATCACTGGTAGTATGTGGTACATGAAAGAAGCTGTGAAAAGCATCGGCCAGATCCTTCGTGTTTTTCATATGATTCTTATCGATCTTTAATAGGTTTACACCACCGGATGATGTTTGAATTCCATACTCGTGTAATGCTAACGGCCAAAATGCTGCTCCAATCTGGTTTCCGCATTGACCAACTGAAATATGTGTTAGTGCATATATCAACGCGGATTTTTATCTGATTCGCTTTTAATACTAAACATGACTTACCCTGGATTGTAATAAACTGACTCATGACGTATGGGTGGTATCATTTTATTTTTTACATCCGTTATAGTTGTACCTTCGCGTTTTTTTTATGGAAAATTTCTTTCAACGCTCGCCTCTAACGTGGCGTTCTTGTACATTTCACAATTTCCCACCCCAAACTTTAAATATCCCTAAGGGCGGCGACCGATCGCGGAAGTATGACGAAGATATACACGTGAATTGTTATTTTGAAAACTTGGAAAAAGAGTTGTCAAAAATGAAGAATGTATTCCGTAACTCGAGTGTAATCCTTGTTTTAATATTCCTTGAGTCACTTTTGGCTGTGCCTAATAGATCAACGACATCACGTAAGTTTTAAGGGCCTAACCTATAGATCTATTTATAAATACCGGCGTTTGTGGATTATTTTAATATAACGTTAGATGATAAAGGGAAAAAATGTTTGTTCTAGACTTTGAGCTTTAGCTAATTTCTTAACAGAATAATTTATTTTACGTTGATCTATACTTTCCTGAATTTTTTCACGTAAAGTTTATGGTATTTTGAACAAGATACTTTATTAAAATGTATACTGTAGTTCATAATATATAATTATTGTTTTGTTTCACAGTACATTTTTTGGAGCCTGGGGATAGTGTAAATAGTGAAATGCCAGGATTGAGTATATTTTGTCATAATGCTAAGCCAAAATACATAATATACATGTGGAAAAATTTGAATGTGAGCATCATAAATCATGATTTATAGTAAGGTTCAATTCTTGATTATTAAAGGTTCTTTTTTGTATTTGAATATAGATGAATTTACATACAAATTCCGAAAAGTATGATATTTATCATGGAAAAACCCAATTGGAGGTGAAAGAGAAACATGAAGTTAATCAACGATCATGGACATTTAATTTATTTGGCACAAAAAAGAGTAAACAGTTTAAAATTAATCCTTTTGAAGATACGTGCATTGGAATTTTCACATACAATTACAATGAAAAATCGTACACATTATCGATGACTCAAGAACGTTAGTATTTTTGCATTGAGTTCTTTATTGATGTTTCGTTGCTATCAATAATAATTCATCTTATTTTATATTTTATCATAATCAGGTGTAGATGTTACAAAAGTATTAATGATGGCATTAGGAATCATAATATTTTGGTATGCACAAAAGCTGAGCCAAAATCCATTATTTTATTATTTATGTGGAATCACACTTGGAGTTACAACTTCTGTTATAATACTCATATATTTTGCTAGTAAACTATTTCCAAGAGTAAGTAACAGTGTCTTTTTTGAGCTTTTGTTTAGCTTCATGCATAACTGATTTATATTTTTTATACAGGGAAAAGCAATGTACTTAATGGTAGCCACTGGTTGGACAATGAGCTTCTACCTTGCACAAGCATTGTGGGAAAATGCACAATTAATAGCAATTCAATATCGAGAATACGTACTCTGGTACATATTAATAACATCCATGATCAGTTTTATACTTTGTTATCGATTTGGTCCAGTTACTAATCCAAGAACGAAAAAAATTATACAGTGGTTCCTTCAGGTACTTTAAACAAATTATGTAGCAACAGTTATGTAGTAAAATTATCAATCAACGTAACAGATTTATTACATGATTTTTTATGTCATTAGTTTTCTGGATTGATGGCAATTTATTATAGTAGCTATTTTTGGGAAGCTTCCGCATCATGTTGTGTTTTATTGCTGCTCTTATATAACTTTCCGATTGTGATGATACACAGAGGAAAAAAATATTGGTAAGTCTGACTCTTGTCATATTAAATATATTTGTATATTTCTTGGATAAGTTTCTTAACGTTACTTGCATATCTGCAACCAGGAAAACTATGTTTCCTGATCAACGAAAATTATTAACAGAGAATGAATACCGCTTAGAAGGTTTAAGGGAAACGAAGAAGGCATTGGATAATCTACAGACCTACTGTTCCAGCCCTGAATGTAATCCGTGGAAGACTGTCCTGAGATTAAAGGATCCAATACGGTAAGCAATGGTTGTTTTGCTAAAGAACAATTATTCCTTATACTGTGAGTTACATGGTTGGAGTTATAGGTTTGCCAAATTTATGGAGGGCGATTCGCACATATCGGATGACGAGTTAGATAGCCACGAGGCGGAAATTACGCGAATTATTGAAGAATGCGAATACACTGATGATGATGAGGATGATGATTACTGATTGCAAAAAGAAAATCTTAATTAATGAGACAATATTTTGAAATTGATTTTTTAAAAACAAATTTATCAGTTCGCAAAAAATAAGTCTTATGTAATTAATGATAATATTCGTCAATACATTGGGGGAAATATTAGATAATCTTAAATTATAACTTTTAACGCCGTATGTTCTGTTCATAATTATTTAAACTGAAACTGTTTCTTGCTTCCTTTTTATATTAAATTATGTCAGAGACATGTGCTCATAATTCAAAAATAAAATCATTATTTTTATAAATATTATCGTGTTCAATACATCACAGATTTAAGGAGAGAAAGGTGGCAATAATAAGACATATATTGGTTATACATAGAATATATCTCTATTCGTGTCAGTATGATGGGTAATAGATCCCGTCAATGATAAATAAGTGCAAGTAAACATTCTTAAAAATATTAATTCTACATATAAGTTTTCGCATATAACATTACAAAGCATCAAGCAATATAAAAGTACAAGCTCGGTATTTGTTATTAATAGATATTAGGACATGGTTAACAAGAAGATATAAAGCTGTGTTGATAAAACACATAAGGCACACCATTCTGTTCACTAGTTAAATTCTTCAGATCAGTATAATTATACAAACAACGGCAGTGTAAAGTAAATGTTAAAGTATTATTAGTCATTGGCATTACGTATTAGACTAACTTATTGAAATTGTCAGTGCACTGCTTTTCATTAACGAGCTCGTGAAATTTTCTTGCTCTTGTCGTTTTCAATTGGTGGCGGTGGTCCCTTAGCACCAAGATGTCTGTTGTATACGCTATAAATTGCATTATGAATGAATTTTATTTAAATCTAATTAATTAAATTTCTTATTATTACATTACAATACTTACTATCTATAAGTTTCGGAACGGATGTAATCCATTACGTGAGATATACCAACTTGTAATTGGTCTCCAATCGGCGTAACCCAAGGATTGAATTCCATCCGAAAGACGGCCTTATTACTTACTAAATCCAAATTCCCTATTAAAAAAAACTTTTAAATGTGTCACGTTCCTTAGCTACTACAAACCATTATTTTTAATCAATAATTATTTTGTACCTATCTCTGGCGGAAGCACGGTCAATCGATTTCCTTGAATATGAAGTTCACGCAGACGACTGAGTTCTCCGATCTCTTTGGGTAATTCAATCAAATCATTTTCTCTCAAGACAAGCTGAAACAGATTCATTCATATAAAAAACATACTACATCCCTTTAGTTTTTACTAATGATAATAAAATATGGTCTTCCATACAATTTGTAAATTTTTAAGTTGACCAATCTCAGGAGGTAGGTACTCGAAATCATTATCAGCCAAATATAAAGCCCTCAAAGTTTCTAAAAATATTATGAAATAAAATTAGTTTTCAACAATCTTTACACGCACATATTGACTAGTGTGTGTGTGTGTGTGTGTGTGTGTGTGTGTGTGTGTGTGTGTGTGTGTGTGTGTGTGTGTGTGTGTGTGTGTGTGTGTGTGCGCGTGCGTGTGTGTGTGCGCGCGCGCGCGCGCGCGCGCGTGCGTGTGTGCGTGTGTATATATATATATATATATATATATATATATATATGTATATATATGTATATTACTATACCCATCATAAAAAAATTTCCAGGCAAATTTTTTTCACAAAGATTATTGTATGTGAGGTCCAGAACCTCTAGAACAGGAAATGCTCCAAAACCGCGTGGTAGTACATCCAGTCTATTCATTCTAAACACAATGGATATTATTTATTTACTATGTCAATATACAGTTAGTGTAGAAGTTATATAGTCTTACCCAACATTGAGAATTCTAAGTTTAGGCATTTGAGATAAGGATATGGGAAGTTCCGTAATGTGGTTGTTGAACAGATTAAGAATTTCCAGATTGACTAAATTTGCCAGACCGGGTGGTACAGCTTGAAAAATTAATTGGAAAATTAAATAAATTTTATAATGTTCAACATACAATTTAAACTTTTAGCATTTCTAAAATTACCTTGAATCTTATTATGACTCAATGTCAACCGAGTGATATTCAGCATGTTCACTGAAAGCAAGCATATAGTTCAATAAATTACTCCTTAGAAACATTATTACAAAATAAAATCAACTTTATTTAAGGTTTCTCGGTTTTTCAAATTTCAATTGAAATCGAATTGTTGTGACAACAAACGGCGTCCCACGTGTTTTACCACGCCCACTCCTCGCACGGAATGGCTAATGGCCGTCGCGCCTCTTCATTCCAAAAAACCAGTCAAGACAAGTTGCCTAATTTGGCGAACGATACAAGACGCGCCACAAATAGGGCGTCGCGAGGTACTCACGTAAACCGGGCATCTCCTCGAACGTGGAGATACCCTTGTCGGCCAAATCCAGCTCAGGATTTTGAATTTCTCGAGCCTCATCGAGGACCTTCTTCGCTTTTGACATCTTCCCGGCAGGAATACACGAAACTGGGGCCTGGTTCATTGCGCGCGCACTTTATACACGTCAGGACCTTTAAATATGCTATGCGCTCACTTTCCTGCCACTTCGTAACGTACAGTAAGCTCGACTGTTGGTCTTGGTTAGAAGGTGCAGCTGATTTTCATCTTAGTTCAAAGTGGATCCGAGAGAAAGCGCCACTATAAGAAATAACAGTGGTACAGTCGCGGTACATTATCGACAAGTTTAGCAGTCGTGTGTTTGTACATACATACAATATTATAAAGTTGGATGCTGCATTTGCATTTGTTTTTTTTTTACAAATACATTCAAATATACTACCTAAAAATAGCGATATATTCTTTATTTTCTGAGTATTAATTACATGTGTATTCTAATATAATATTTTCAGCAAAGTGCTCATTTTTCAATACTCACAATCAAAGCTATACCGCAAATTAAAATGGTACAATCCAGTATAATAACACATATGCAATCTCCAAATAAGAAGATCACGCAAAAGCGATTGAATAGCTGGGGTCAATTACAGCCGGTAATTATAATCCACTAACGAACGTATGAGTTGAATTTCACGAGTAACTGGTTTTAATAACGTTAAGAATTTTTTCCGTATCCCTTGCGGTTGAAATCCAATCTCTGTACATTCCAACATGGTTTGCGCGAAATATTCGTCGAAATACCAGCGCGGAGTGATGGGCTCATTGAATTTTTGAAGGTTATACGACGATCTTGGATAATAATTACTAAAGAGTAAACGTAATAGTTCATTGTTTTGCTGCACCTTCACCTACCAGAAGTACCACGAGCACCTTCTCCCTCTATTGAATTTCTTGTCTTTAGTTTCCCCGCTGAACGACTGCTACAGTACACTTATAAAAGTATGAGAGAGTGGCGCCAAAGGGTACCTCAGGGCTCGGAAGGTTAGCGACCTTGGTTCGTACGGTAAAGGACAAGACTGACCAGGAGGGCCTTGTGCATCCATCATTGCTATCCAGCAATCAGTGCCAAGCAGTATTATCGGTCAATTTACCGACGCCGTGACTAGTCTCGCGTAGATACTGCATGAAAAACTCTTATTCCGTGCCCATGAACAGTACCAACCGTTCACAGACTTGCGATAATCAAATAATCATTTCCACAAACCTGCGATCATTACATAGTTATACGAGAGTACCAAGATCAATTCACGACAGAATTTCATTTCGATTAAATCTAACGGGGAAGGGATAAAATCGACAAAATACGCGTCATAAAAATATGAGAACCCTAGAACTCTTATATCAGACCAATCTGAGTTGTTTAGGCGAAAAACGTAAGTTGCTTAGGCTGAAATTATTATGTTTCTATTTAACGTGATAATGAATTTCAGATATACAAATTTTGTGAAAATTCAAAATTTATTGCACACTGAATAATTTTTCACTTTTTTTTCGGTCATTACGATCCAAATAATTTAATAACAATTCTATATCAATATAAATGACTTCTGTTATAAATACTTTTTCTTGGCAATATCGAGTTTAACGAACATAAATCGAATCAGTGATCTCAGTTTGCTCACCCCGTATGCACGGGATGTGCATGCACGTACACATTCAAGATCGACTGCAACATATAAGCCCGTTATGCGTGCTACAGCTTAGCGTAGCATAGACGCACACATTGGCATCGGACGCTATAAATAGACTTAGCAGACCGCAGACTCGAAGTACCCCACTCCCTCGAGGCGTACCAACTGTATCGTGCCAGTAACCTACTCGCAAAAAATCCCTTACGTCTGCATTGTAATTGTTAATACACGTATTCCAGGGATTGACTATTACCCAATCAGAAAGTCCGTCAGCAATATCTAACATTATTCTCGTTCGAAAGCTTCATCTTCAAAACAAAATGCTTCACCAACTCATTATTTTAAACAGTGTAGATATAAAAGAAGAATCGGACACGTTACTCAGAATTAAATTTATAAATAAAATATTCACAGAGACAACATTTTTTTTCTACCACCAGTGAGTGCAAGCATCCCGTCCTCAAATTTTCAGAAAGTTCATGACTATTTTGACAATAGCCTGCAGCCGTAAATTGCATACGTACTGAACGACTGCAGGATCGAAGAATACTGAATCGTCAATCAGCTGCGTATAAGTTCAGGTGTACGTTCGAGCGCTTCAAGAATATTTAACAGGACGACCAACCCTCGCCGAATTGACGGCACCCACGGAATTTCCGAGAGGCATAACTTTTATCGCGTCTCCATTTAATAAGGCGTCGAAGTAACGCCAGGCGTGCAATTCAAACACAATTTTCACGGCGCAAGCCGTTACGATACCGGTACTGCTGATCCAGACTCAGCAGCTTCTGTTTTCGGCAATGAGGATGTCAGACAAGTTACGATACGAGCAGCAGGTGTTATGAAAATAATGTCGTGGCAAATCATCTTTTTTTTTCTCATCGTCTTTCTGTCTCTCTCTTTTTGCCTTTACCCTCGCCCCTTTGCTCCCTTTTGCTCTTATCACGCAGGACCGGTAAAGCCGGTCAATCAACCTCTTGAGACTCTCGAAACTTTCCGGTGGCAAATTGAAATCGTCGAACCTTTAAATTTCCTAAGAAGAGCGTCGCTATCGTGTCACGTCCTGTGCCTTCCTTAATTATCACATTTTTACATAATTTCATTTCAGCCAATCTAGACCCGAATAGACCCAATCCAATACGCTCTACAAACGTGGTACACTATCTTCGGACATCCTCAATGATCGTAAGGTACTTGACGAACCATTAAACACGTAGTAAAAGTTATACAACTTCACGACTGTCCGTGATCTACGTTCCTTTACGAACTCCATTTACTCTACGAGGATCGTATGGATCTCAGTTGCGCATAGATTCAAAATCGTTCACGGCATCTACATTGCGTAATAGCATGGCGAATTGAGTGAGTCTATAGGATATAAAGAATAGAATCTCAGCTAAGCTGGATTCTCTGAAAGAGAACGTATTCACTTGAGTCGTTGAAGATTGATAACCATCAAGACACTCGTTCATCAATCGAGTCTGTCCCACTGGCATTCCAATTACGTACGCTATTCGATTCTACCTCGACATCCTAGATTTAGCACGGTGTGCCAGTAATCACCTCGAAAGACTCACGGTGATCTATCCCTTCGATTTGCCATCTTTACTATATATATATATATGTATATACACACACATCCAGTTGCTGCTTGGGTTCTCATTATACTTATCTATCTATAGGTACGAACGATTTTACACTGCCTAATGAAAGTCCTTTGGCAGCTGCTACGAACGGCAGAGATTATTATTTTCATAGTGAAAAATGCCCCATGATTCATATAATAGAGATAAAGTAATTGCCAGTTGTCAATTTGCCAGGTTTACCCTGGCAAGAGGTAGAGTCAGCGCGTGGTAGCTGCCCCAGCCTTTTCACACGTCACTCGACGATGTTTGCTTGGCAATTGCTTTGTGAAATAGTTTTAGATTAACCATTATTCCACCTTCCTTTACTTCTGAACCGTCAGAGAACCTTTTCCTTTCGAACTCCCCACTGGCATTCTCCTTCTACGACTCTTATGTCAGCCGGCGTTCACCTCGCTCCCTGGCAATACGTTTTTACTTTGACCCGCGGATAACGAAGCCCCGAGTGTCGGCGTGACTGTGGAAAATAGCGGCTGCAGTAAATTCTATTCGAACGTTAACGGCGCCTTGTCGCTTCCACGTCTCCTTTGTTGGGCGTAGCGATATGGAACACGCTATTCTCCTATTTGAACTCTTTGCGATTCTTACTAGTTTAGAAAATGGCCTCCATCTTTATATTTCACCAAATCTATTATCAAGACTGACAGCTGTACATGTGTGAATATCAAAATCTCACTTCGTACATGTGATTAAAGTTCCTAGAAACATATTCAGCGTCTTGGATAATTAAACGATTGAATCGATTAAGAAACACGTGCGTCCCGATAAATCGTTAGAACGAATTTATCAGTGGCGCTAGACCTCACGCACAACGCGCAATATATGTAAGTTTTCTTATATACTTATATTTACAATTAGTATATGTATAACATATATATATATCATGTCGTAATACGTGGGATTTCCGAGGCAACGTTGCTTGCCTGCTTCGAGTCGTTTTGCCAATGCGTGATAATTAAACAGTTTAAAGGGATTAACGGAACGGAGAATGGACTGTGGTTCTCCAGTAAGAAATTAGCTGGACTGGCGCCGTACTATCAATTAGTACCGCTGATCGAGTGTAACTCGGTATACAGTCACATAGAGAAGGTGGTGTCCATTGATGTAGTATGCTGCTGTCCTTCGACGGTCATTGGTGTACATCGTTTGACAAGAGCCGCGGCTCCTCGGACACTTGACGGGATTAAAATCTGCGCTCCCGTTGCTGCCAGCTAGCTCAATAATTATAGGCGGCTCTATTCCAATGGACTCGGTTCGTTTCACACATCTTGTCGCACGTCCGACATTCCCTCGCGAATGTCCCTAATGGATCTGGCCTTGATCTGAAGCCACCTTCGGCAGACCTGACGATGATCGTCACTCTTGAGCTCCGCCCATCTGGACCAGAATATCTTGATGGGTCTGTGACATTTGCAGTTTTGGATTAGAGGGGCGCAAAATGAAAAAAAAAAATTTTTAATCAATCATCGGATAATATTTTAATTAATTTAGGTTCGTGATATTGGCTCTCGATGTTCCACGCATTTCGTATCTTCGGATTATTGTTTCTCAGAGCGATAACGCATCGATCCAGCCAATTAGCAAGACTACCAAGAGATTTCATCTTTTTAATTCGGTGTATCCTTCGCGTCGGTTCATCATCATCGATCGGCAATCCTGTCCGTCACTGGACATAATGAGTTTTAATCCACTGAACACTGAATGCGCTCTGGTGATATCGCGATGAAGAATACTGGATCCTTTCAGGGGCGCGTAACAGGCAGAAATACGTAGGAAGAAAGAAATTGAAAGGAACCCGAAGTCGAAGTAAT